AGGAAAACCTGCTTTAGACATGGTTAAGGATTTTAAAATACTTTGGAGAGCAATTCATCCTCATATTTCTTGCCACCTGTTATTCTAACCTACAATTAGCCAATTCTAGATAATGAGAGTACTCTTTTCTTAAATCTGCTAAGAATCTGATCTGGTAGAATTGAAGAAGCTTTTAGACATGGAAAGATTTCTCTTTTTGAGAGACATAATTAAGGGGAAAAATTCATAGAAGATAAAGTTTTAACATGTTTAAGATGAAATTTACTAAGGAAACTTATATACCCATTTACAGCTGTGAAAAACAAAGCAAAATTATCTATTTGACTTTTGTAGTACTTATGGGTATCAGCTATACTGAAACCCCAATAATAATGAATATTATTTGATGAGAAGAAAGAAGAAAAATTTCTAAAATTATTTTGGTATCCTTTAGTCTGAACGTAATAAATAACTTTCCCTTTAAGATTAGAAGTAATATTTAGTTATACCCTTATATCTTACCTTCTTGTGTCTGTAGCAGGTATATCCCATGGGCAGAGGTATGACATTTAAATAAAATAGAACAACAAACAAAAAATAAATAAACTGGAAATACCCACCCATGCTAGGTATATATATATATATATATATATGTGTGTGTGTGTGTGTGTGTGTGTGTGTGTGTGTGGCTTTAAAAAATACTTTTTCTTCTTTTGAATAAATTCTATCCATTAGTGTATAGAAATGACCAGGAAAGTGATGGAGCCATAACATATTTGGGGAAAATAATAACTGGTGGAGACTTTATATAGGATGCCAAACCAAAGTGTTTTTATTCTAAATTTTTGGCTTCTACAGTGACTTAAAGACCATGCTATCTTTAATTTGAAGACAAAGGATTAGTAAGGTGACCTTAGTCTAGCTGTCCCATGATTTATATTCCTTATGATATTTGAGGGTGAATCCCCTAATTTTTGAAACTATTTATATTGTGCTAATCAATTCTTGTTATAAGAAAAAAAAAAAGGGGCTGGGGTTGTGGCTCAGTGGCGGAACACTTGCCTAGCATGTGTGAGGCTCTGGATTCAATTGTCAGCACCACATTAAAAAAAATAAATAAACCGTGAGCCCTCAAATAAACTCTTCCTCCTCTACAGAACAAATAAACAAACAAACAGACAAACAAATAAATAAAAAGATATCATGTCCATCTACTATTAAAAATATTTTTTTAAAAAAAGTTTTATAAAAAGAAAAAGAAAGTATGTGCATTTGAGTGTTAACAATTCTGTGGTCTGGAATATAGCCCACTAAATGAGTCAATGGTCCTGTTATGCATAAAAAAAATTATCTCTTAACTGTGAGGTCAGAATTAGTGACTCAGTGCTGTTTACCGAGTACATTATGTTAACAGTGAATTCATGAGAAAACTAATTCTTCTAGGGATGACAAGTAACCTCCATGACACTGGGTAATTCCAGTTCCCCATACCTGCAAGGATCCTGTAATTGCCTTTTCTGACACTTGCTAGATTTCTCAGTTTCCCTTCTTATACCTCAGATGAGAGCAGTAAGGATGTCTCCCTTGTAAAGTTGGCTGCACATTTTTTGATATCTATATTTGGGGAGCACTAGAACCATAGTGTGTAATTATACAAGCTCTGGGGATGAGCAGCCTGCCCTCCAAACACCATGAGACAATTCAATAGGAAAAATAACGTGACCTTTATTTCAGCTATAAGGAATGTGGTGATTTTTTTTGCATAATATAATACTTTCTGAATTCTCCTGACTTACAAAGAAAGATGGAAGGAGCTTCTRTGACTAGTAAGGAAGTGGGAAAGAACGGTGTCAAGATTTAAACATTAAATCAACAGTCCAGTGTTGGGAAGGGCTTGTGCTGAATAAATATCTGCCCTGTGCCCGACTGTACCTGTGCTTCRGTTGCCTTCATCCTGCCAAACACAAATGAGTTACTAGGCAACAGGAATGAGTCACACACTCTAAACACCTCACTACARTGAAATGTCCAACCTCAGTATTTCCAGGAAATGCCCCTCTTCTAAGTCACCAGAGAATGGATAAACATTCTCAGAGGCACTGAGGGGGTCACATGACCCAGATCTGGTAACTGTATGTAAGAAGGTGGGACCAGCTAATATTTGGAAGGATGTCACCTCACAGGGCAAACAGTCAGTTACCTCTGTGGTAACTGTCCCCAGGAAGCGTTGAAGGGGAAAAGGTGTGCCATCTGCCCAGAAAGACTCTCAGGGAAGGAAACCTGCTGCTGTTAGGGGAAAATCATAGTATGTCCTGATTGTAAAATAAATAAATAAATAAATAAATAAAAATAGCCAGAAAGTAACAACAGAACATAGTGGAACCTACACTGCCTGGATTCAAATCCCATTTCTGCCACTTGTTAGAAATTTTACTTCTCATAACTCAAGATGGGGGCAGAAGGATGCCAACCTCATGAAGTGCTTGTCCATTTCAATGTCCATGTTTGGGAAGCTCTGGAACCAGAGTCCCTGATTATCTAAGCTCTGGGGCTGGGGTGGCTCACCCTCCATTCTCCACAACTCCCAGAGGGCTGAATCATGAAGGAATGAAGAAATTACAAAGATAAGCAGGACCCTGTTCAAGGATTTACTTRTTCCTTAATGATTCCAAGGACTATAATTACAGAGATTATAACCATAAATCATTTGAGAAGCCTCTCCAAGGATTTTCAGAATTATGTACTTTGAAAATTATATATCGAAAAGCTACATCAGCATTGCTTTGATGTTCTGAAGCCAGATATGGTGTGTTCCTTACACCTTGCATCATATCCCACCTATTTATGTAAGATATGCTATAATAGAAGTTGCAGTTACATGAAGTAAACCATAGAAAGTCAGATGGGACTAGTATTTGATAGGCCCACAATTCTGTAAACACATCACTGACTCATTTAGAAAAGAAAGATACCTGTGCTTCTTTGGAAAAGGGTAAGGTAACTCTGGTGTCTTTGAGTGTGTGGGCTGATTTAGTCATTCGGCAGCCATTCTAGGCCCAGAATGTCAGGTACTTGGCTAGCAGCCAGTGACACCAACAAATAAGACATGGACTCTGTCCTTGCAGCTCATAACCAGCAGAGGAGAGAGCCCTGGGTAAGCAGTGAACTGTAAAACTGCAGGGCCTGCTACAAAAATGGGTAAGAACATAGGGAAGGGGAGAGAACCAATGACCTTGAATCCCAGGTGACTTCTCTGGACTTTATTTTTTTAAAGAGAGGTGAGAATGTTAGTGAATGGTATGGGGAATATGTGACTGCATGTTGGTCTAGGAGTTGGGCAGTGCCTTCATGATATTCTATAGCAATTAAACATGGCCGAGAGTGCTATGCCATTTGGAGAGAGGAAATGTAGGTAATCATCGTCTTTCTTATTCCTGCATTTGCAGAATCTTTCTCATTCCAGTGTGTCTGGGTGGATCAAATCTCAGGTGCGGGTGTTTCCCAAGGAAATGGGGGACTCTAAAGTTCAGAAGAGGAAAAGGTTAGGGAGGAAATTTCAGGGTTATTTCAGAAACCCATTATTATTGTTAATTTGTACCCATGGCCAAAGGTGCAGCCCATAAGTATAAGTACATGACATCTTTTTATTCAATAACTATAAAGATTTCTTTTTGAAAGCATTTATTTATTTATTTATTTATTTATTTGATGTTGTGGGTTGAACCCAGGGCCTTTTGCAATGCTGAGTGTGCATTGTACCACTGGACTGTATATACACACCAGCCTCTCAAAATATTTATTTTTGAATTGAAACACACAAAAATGCACACATTTAAGAATACAACATGATATCAAGAGTTCTTTATTAGCAAAATAATATCACAGTGATTTAAGGTTAACTTGGATCTCTATTAAAAGTAAGAGAAAAGCAAATGTTCAACTCTAAAATGTTTTGACTTTTCTTGAAGCCACAACGCACAGTGCTTCACTGAATTTGACTTTGAATGTGGAACCCCTGTTTTACATGTGGACATATACCTTGAAAAACTTTCTATAAGTGTGTGTTGCTGATACGGRGGAAATGTTCATAAGTTTGGTTTATTTTATGAAGGGCCTAGAATTTTCCCATTTGTTGCCATTTACATGAATTTTAGATACTTCATCAGGAATCATTGTTACTTGATAGAAAACTGTATTAACTTTTGCTCGTAGAATATCACTAAGCCGACATGACTTATTTATAAAGAGAAACCACACATAATTCCTCACATGATTCAAATACATACACTGATACGAGTTAACTAAACTTGTTTATATTTATTTGTTCCAAAAGTCTTTAAGGTAGAAATTGTTATTTTAATTAACAAAGTTCTAATGCAAAAATTAGAACATCAGCTGCCATTTCCAACTTTTTGACCTAGGTGTGTATGTCATGTCTAGGGTAAAAATTGGAACAGTCAGCTACCCAGAGAAAAATTTCAAATCTAGGATCGCAAATCATTATCAGAGAGGTCTAGTCTTCTTTGCTACTATAAATTCTGCTTTTGATGCTAGTAAAATACATGGGCTCCTTAAATCAAGGTATGCAAGCAATTTCAGATTACTTGAAACATTTTTATTTCCCAAGTTTAAATATTTCCAGAAAGACCTTTAAAACACCAACTAATTTAATCAGGATTTGGACTAATGAGTGTTATTATTTACTAAGTTTGTATTTGCATGCATATGATGGTCAATTGGTAACGTGGTACTTTACTTGTAGGTCCATTGGTGTTGGCTTCTGAGCTGACCCAGTAACTTTCCATTGTTTAACTTGCTTTCAGTTAATCATGTCTTCTTCTAAGGGATGGGACCTTTAACCCTCAACCTTATGAAATTATTTTCTTTAGTTTTAATGCTTTTTTCTAATGAACCTGAATGAAGCACTGTCYCTCAAGATCTTATGTAATTGGTTTTAGTCCTGGTGGGAAAGGGGATTTGCATCAGGCCTTCAAAAACAGCCTCTTTCTTGCTCCATTCAGATGCCTAAATAGTGGATAGAAGCTGTTGGGTGATTGTTCGCGACTGATTTCCCTTCTCGTGTGACTTATCCTGTGTGCTTACCTGAAGAATAGAGATATAAGGTAAATCATGTTTTTAAATTATAATAAGTCAAAGGTTAATTATTTAGCATAGTTTGAAGTAGGGCAGAAGAAACAGGACCAAGGAGACTGTTAAAATTCTCATCAAATGGCAGAGTCAGGGTTAGAAGCCAAATATGGGCTTCTAAGATATATTTTTAAGATAATAAAATACTAATATTTTTTTGACATATACAAACATTTTAATGAAAAACATTAAAGGAGGAGGTTATAACTAGTAAGAATTACACACTTTATACACATTTTGTCTCAAAATAAATTGGTAGCCATTAACTCCTTACGTAAATACACAGGGAAGAAATAAAGTTTACAAAATAAAAATGGAAAGCACATTATTTATTTATTTTGGCATATGAGATTGTCATTTTGATGTTTAAGTTTAGTTAGGCTACAGTCCCCAGTAATTCACTTAAACACTAAACTAGATATTACTGTGAACTGAACGTGTTTCATAGATGTTATTAAAATCTATAATAAATTGATCTAAAGTATTGAATATAATCTGAGAATGAGTTCTGATATAATAAGTTAAAAGCAGAGTTGAGGCTCAACTGAAGAAGAAATTCTGCCTGTGGACAGCAGCTTTACCTTTTGTCCCAATGTTTCAGGCTTCCCTTCCTGATGACCTGCTCTCGGAATTCCAGACTTACCTAGGCAAGCCCAAAGATGACAGAGGCCAAGGGTTTTGTTTTTTTTTTTTTTTAAACATGAAGTGGGGTGTATTTTGATATATTTATTATACATGCATAGAATAAGAATAATTTATTCCAATTAGGATTCCGTTAATGTGGTTGTACATGATGTGGAGTTACATTGTCACATATTTATATATGAGGATAGAAAAGATATGTCTGATTCATTCATGTCTTTCCTATTCCCATCCCTCCTCCCTTCCCTTCTAAGATGTTACCATACAAACATATCTGTGTTTAATTTGCTTCTGAGAACAGCAAAGGCATGATGTAGGGACCATGTTGTTAAATGAACTTTGATTGTTTATTTCATTTAATAACATGGTCCCTTCATCAAGCTAAAGAACATCACCAAAAAAAAATTTGTTTAAGCCTTTGAGGATATTGACATCTCACATCACTGGATCAAGTCCCAAGAGTTATTCTGAGCACTAAGGAAACATACCTGGAACATCTAATCATTAGTGTCCTCCATCACTGTTACCTTACCCTACCTCTTTTCTTTCTTTAAGAATGAAATTTTTATTTGCTTTCTTCAGCTGTATTTGGTGAGATGAATAACATACCTTTTTCTTCTTTTATATAATTTTATTTACTTGTTACAAATATGACTAAACATCTAAGAAATCTGTGGGACTGACCTAAATGAGATAACTGAAACCCGGCCCTGCTAAATTACCTACCCAGACCTAATTGTGGCTTGCTTATGGCCAGTTGGAGATAAGGATTCTGATCTTTTTGACTTTTGACCCAAGGTTTTACCATGACACTATTAGGTTATCAGCTTTTGTAGCCATGGAAGCCATATTTCAGATGATATTTTTGGATAATTCCTCCAAAATAGACACAAAGAGAGTTCTGTAAGTTGGAGCAAAATGGGGTCCTGAAGACATATTCACAGGGTCTTCCTGGGACACGCTTTTGTAATGTCTTTCCTTCCCTCACTCCATCACCTCCTTGACAACAACAATCTGACCGTGTCTAGGTGAATTGTTCTAGGGCATTTCTATCTCCTTTATTTGAACTTAAACATAAGCAGAAAAGTTAGGGGAGGAAAGGTGACCTAGCCTGGGAATCACATTTACAAAGGGAATRTTATAAATGTCTTCCGAGTTGATTCTGCAACATTTTTAGGGTACAGCAAGAAGAAGCGGCCAGGAACAGCTGGCTTTGAGAATCTGCTGGTCTCTGGCACTGTTTCTCCTGGCACAGCAAAGACATGGTACCCCATTTCCTTTCCTTTACTGTGAGAATTCATCCTGAATCTGTGTGTGTATTTGCAGGTGCTCTTCTCAAACAGTGCATAGAATGGCACGCTTAGCCTCAAATGTTGGCTCTGCTATTTACTTGCTGATAACCTTGGGCAATTCACTTATCTCTCTTTGCTCATCTGTGAAATGTGGTAATCATAATGCATACCTCATAGAGCTGTGAAGATTATGTAAGTTAAGCATGTTTATTAGTGTTTGTATAATAAAAAGTACCATATAAATGTTAGCTGTACTCTTATTCTTCAGAAGATTTTATGAATACATTAAGTCACTAATATGTTATGAATTCAAAATTTTAAGCACTTAAAAACATTATAATCTCTTTTTWAAATATTTTTTAAGTTGTCAATGGACATTTATTTATTTATATATTTATTTATATGTGGTGCTGAGAATCGAACCCAGTGCCTCACACATGCTAGGCAAGCGCTCCACCACTGAGCCACAACCTCAGCCCTCTTTCTTTAATATTTATTTTTCAATTGTAGTTGGACACAATACCTTTATTTAATTAATTAATTTATTTATTTTTGTGTGGTGATGAGGATCGAACCTAGGACCTCGCATGTGCTAGGTAAGTGCTCTACTGCTGAGCCACAACCCCTGCCCAAACATTCTAATCTTGTTAAACTAAAATAAAAATAATATTTTGGGGGTAGAAGATTTGGCCTAGTGGTAGAACACTTGCCTGGCATGCATGAGGCCCTAGGCTCCACCCACCCAGCACTGCAAAAATCTAAAAACAAACAAACAAAAAAAATCAAGATGATAACAATAAAAAAGGCTCCAAACCAACCTAAGATTTTCAGGCTGGTTGTGGTGGTGCACGCCTAACTACTCTGAGGCTGAGGCAGAAGGATTGCTTGAGCCCAGGAATTCTAGGACAGCTTAGGCAACATAGCAAGTCCTTGTCTCAAATTTTTTTCCTTGGTGGAAAGAATATAGCATAGAAGTGATAAATTCCACTTAGCTTTGCATGATCCCAATTGTTAAAAATTGTTCGAAGCATATATAGTATTTCTAAATACTTCTCTCAAAAAAACTTTCTTCAAATAACAAAGCCAAAAATGATCAGTTGGCTTCACAATATAAATTAGATTTGTTATGGGCTCAGGAAWTTTTTTTACTTCTGCCTAGTCATTATGCACCAACTTATAGATGATGAAATCTATACAAGGTGGTCAACTTTTCTACAGAAACTTCCTTTGACAGTTATCTTATAGCCTTCTGGTTGTACTTCAGCCAAAATATCTATAAAGTCTGTTTATTTAGTCTGTTATCTTTTGAAAAGCAATAATGTTTCTGAGTGCATGTAAGTTTTAGGAAGTTGGTGCCACTTTCAGAATAAGGTGAAGCTGTTTTGTGCTCCYGTTGCCCTGGGGTTGTGAATCCCTGCCTTCCAGTTTGAGTCTTTTTCCAGTAGCCTTTTGATCCTTGTCCTTGTCATACACAATTATTTTTTACATTTGAAATCTTCATGATTATTAAATATCCTGTAAATTACCAAGAATTATTAAGTAATTCTCTAGATTTTCTTATTGTAGCTTGAGTATCTTTAATCTGAAAATCTGAAATCCAGAATGCTCTAAAATCCAAAACTTTTTCAGGACTGACATGGTGCCACAAGTGGAAAATTCCACACACACCACCTCACGTGATGCACTGTTAAAATGCACAAAATTATTTTAAAATTTTTGTGTAAAATTACCTTAAGCCTGTGTGTATAGGAGGAATATGTGAAATATAAGTGATTTTTTGTTGTTGTTGTTCAGCCCTGGGTCCCATTCCCAAGAGAACTCATATATACGCAAATATTTTTTTTTTTAAAAAAAGGACAATTAAAAATGAGAAAGAAAGAACAGAAAAACAAATCTTAGTGGTCACAAGCATTTCAGRGAGGTACTCAACCTGTATTGACAAATGATCTTTGAACACAAGTCTCCTTTGCACCTATAGATAATCATATGAAGGAGATCTGCATGATAATTGTGCATGAACATACAGGCCAAAAGGCATAAGATGAAGAATGATAACCATACCATGAAAATTTTGGCCACAGAGCATCCAACAGGGGAAGGTTGATTTCTAACAASCTGAAAACTATRAATTAGTGTTTGTTTTTTAATGAAACATGAGGGAGAAGGAGCAGAAGGTTTGGTCATCAGGTAGTAGAGGCTTCATTTCTGGATGCAGGAGCACACAAAGCCCTTGGAATCACAGCAGAGAGGGTTTCTTGGAGGATATGACTGTGCACCATGTCCTGAGGTTTGGGATAGTGTCTGAGCAGAGGATCTGGATGAGAGGAGACAGCCTGCTACAAATGACAGGCAAAGACCTGGTAAGGGGATATTGCCAGGGAGTGGAAAAAAAATTAAGTGCATATGGTTGAAGGCATTATTCCTTTTCCCTAAATCGGGAAAAGGAATAATGCAAGTTTTAAAGACTGTAAAAGCAGAGGCCAGATTATGAAGGACCYTGTGAGCAATTCTAGGAAATAATACACGTCAGAAGGACATACCTCTATCTAAGAAGCAAGAAAACAAAAACCAAAAATTGGAGAAAGGTAACTTGACTGGATATTATTATTAAGGAAGTGATGTTAACTTTGGTTATTTGTAACAATAGCAATAGGGTTGGGTTTTTTTTTTAAAGACTCTATTTTAGAGAGGTACACTGAATTATTTACAGATGGAATTATATGGTCTCTGGGATTGCTTCAAATAACCCAAAAACTTGGGTTGAAGTTAGATTAAGATTTCCCTTAATAATTGTGATAGCAAATGGGGTGTACTATACTATGCTGATTTTGGTATGTTTATTGTTTTTGTTGTAAGTTTTTTTTTTTCCTCTTAAGTCAAAATAAGCAATGAGTGCTTTAAAGTGGCTCATAAAGCAGGAAATGGACTGGGARCAAAACCAGAGAGGGAGGGTCTGCTTCATTAAATCCAGTGACTGCAAAGTTCCTGGTTTCTCCTTGTGAAAAAAAAAGTCCATGGCTTTATATCTTCTTTGTAAACT